GATGAAACCCCCAAAATCAACGGTGTCGAAACTTGATCTTCACCACACACAACGAAGCCCTTGAAAAGTTAACCAACTTTGATGAAGAACTTCGGTCTAACTCCTAATGGATTTGGAGGAATCAAAGAGAGAAGATGACTTCTAGAGAGAGAAGCTCTAGATCTGGAAATTTAGGAAAGTTTTAGTGAGAGAGAGAACTGAAAAAGTGATCTAAAATCTCTCATTACGGATTGATATAACATGGTCCGCTCGAGCATGAAATATACTTTCCCGTAAGCAATTTCAAATGCATTTTGCATTTTTGCTTTCGGCGAGCTGACCGGGCAGCTCGACCCCCGTAAGTTGACCGGGTCAAAATCGGGATCGCTACATGGAATACATTTAAATCAAGCAAAATACATCAAGGATTTACTCAAAAGGTTTGAAATGGAATCATCCAAGTCTCCAGTAACTTCAATGAGCACATTAATCAAAATCGACAAAAATTAGCAAGGTAAACTAGTAGATGAAAAGAAATATAAAGGTATGATCGGTTCCTTACTTTATCTTACTGCAAGTAGACCCGACATAAAGTTTAGTGTATATATGTGTGCACGTTTTCAATCCGCACCTAAAGAGTCACACATCACCGCAATCAAAAGTATTTTTCAGATATCTTATTGGCACTCTAAATTTGGGTTTATGGTATCCTAAGAGTATCTCCAACGGTGCATCAATTTTTTCATCAAACCTGAGTAAAAATTGGAATAAAAGCTTCATTTGATGTCAAGTGTTCCAACGGAGGATTTTGAAGCTTCATCAGAACACCGGTCGACTAGGCAGATATGTAGCCGATTGACTGGCCAATGTAATTTTATTTTTTTATTTTTTTTTGCTTGTGGTGGTCGACCGGGTGGTTGATCAACTAGTTCAATTTTTTCAAAATTTTTTTCCTTGAGGTGGTCATCTGGAAGGACATTCGATGGGACGTCCGGCAACAGTAATGAACAGTGATTTGATGAAAGGCACATTGGTCCTTAGTTTGATGACAAAAAAGTGAAATCCTTAATGTGATACTTATTTGATGCAACCATTGGAGCTGCAAAAGGACTCAGTTTTCATCAAATTCAAATTTGATGAAAGGTTTGAGTAACCATTGGAGATGGTCTATGGGAACCACTTTCGAACTTTTCAATTACTTGGATGCCGAATTTACAGGTTGTAGACTTGACCGTAAAAACACTAGTGACACTTGACATTTTCTTAAACACTCGCCCAATTCTTGGTTTTGCAAGAAACAAAACTCAGTGGCTTTGTTAACCGCTGAAGTAAAATACATAGCCTCCGTTGGTCATTGTGCACAATTGCTTTGGATGAAGCAACAATTTCATGATTTTGGACTTTACTATGATCATATTCCTATAAAATGTAACAACACAAGTGCCATTAACCTTTCTAAAGATCCTATTCAACACTCACGCACTAAACACATTGAAATAAGGTATCATTTTTTTAAGAGATCACGTACTCAGAGGTGATATTGAACTTGAATTTTTGCCTACACATCGTCAATTAGCTCACATATTTACTAAGCCTCTTAATGAAAAATAATTTTAATATATTAAAACTAAACTTGGTATGATGAATACTCTTATGTGATTGTGGAGAAGTGGTTTGGAAATACTCTTCTGATCCTGGGGAACGCTCGTGATCCTCTTCCGGTCACCTGAAAAGGAATATACACTCCGGCGGGGGTACCAAAATTAGCACTCCGACGGACAAGTCAGTAACCGAACTCAGGAATACTTATATTCTAAGTTAAGCACTACAATTCTCGCATACCTTTCTTAGTCCGTTGTTCCTTTATTTATACTTGTTTCCTGGACCTCATTGCCAGGCCCACTTGTCGCTCATCGTCCTCTTATTTACTCGGCTCCATGGTTCAGTATCCGTTCGGCCCATCTATTATATTCGGTATCCTTATCGTGCAGAGTAGAGCCGTGTAACATATGTCTTCTAGAGTATGCTTCTGATTATTCCAATTATTCGGCTCCCACAATTGCCCCCCAAACACCTCGCTAGCATCAGTTAGTCGGCGTGTTTGGCTAGAAGTCAAAAAAATCGGCGGTTAATCCTCTTCCCAATGGGTGTCAGAACGCGTGCGTGCTTTTTGGTCATTGTAATGCTTTCCCGCCCCATTCGTGCTTCTCTTGAATTTATTACGATTTGAAAATTAAGTCCCTTTGAAAACATGTTTTTTTGAATAGTTGAACTTCCTGGACTGCCAGTCGGTATCTCTTCTTCGACGCATTTTCTGCAACTCTTATCCGTTCTCTCCTTGTCTCATTTGCCTTTTGTAAGTTTTCTTCTCTTCTCCTTGCAATCCTATTTTCCGTATTTATTTTTGATTTAGCATATCCTTGAGTCCTTGCTAGAATGGCTAAGCATTTGAAAGACCTCCTTTTCGAGGGTCGAATTTCTGGGTTCCGAAAATATTTTTCTATTCTTGAGGATGTCCATCTTGCTCTGTTAACGGACAATACCCTTGATATGGAGAGGGACGACCAAAATACAATCGTTTTCCCTCTCCTATCTATTGCGGAGGGCGGAGTTCGCTTTCCCCTACACCCATTTCTCAGGGCCGTCCTCCGCTATTGGAGTCTGATTCCTTCGCAACCCAATGTAAACTTTTTTCAAATCGTAATGGGAATCGTAGAGTTGAACCGGCGTCTCAGGATCAACCTTGGCATTCCGACGATTCGGCACTACTATGCTTTAGCCAAATCCTCCGATCGGCTCGGGCGCTACTTTCTCAGGGCCAAGGACACCGACCATCACTTGGTGACGATGCTTGCCAGCTCTGGCAAACGAGTTGCCGATGTAATGGTCAATGTCCGAGGTAACTGGGAATTCAGCGAAGGCGAAGATCGCCTGGACCCTATTCCCAGACGGAGGGGTGAGCCAGGTTACCGTATAACTGCTTGTTTGTTGATCTTTCTTTTATGCGGCGTTTTCTCCAAGCCTTACCCTTTATTCTTGCAAGCAATAAGTTGAAGAGGATTTTGACCTCGGCTGACGACGCAATTCTTACGGAAATTAAGATAGCACTAAAGTACTTTGGCCGTTCGAACGTACAGAAGCAAGAGAGAGCCGCCTATATTCTCCTGCGGTACGAGCCTACTTATACCACATTCTCGGCCGCGGACGATATTTCGATCCCAACCGGTGAACAGCACCTTACGGCCCTTGTCTTCCCCAGCTTCAAGACCCTCAGGCAAATTGGTCTTGAAGCTTCTGATTCGAAGCAAGACTTAGAGTCGGTGGTCGAAGTAGTTGCTGAATCAACGAAGGTGTTCGCTACAGAGGTCGAAGAAGTTGACGAAGCCCTCAAATCAGCATTTACGGCAGCCGATCCTAATGAGCCTAACTCTCCGTCCACTTCGGGTCAGGCAGAGTTTTCCTTCGGAGACATTTTTACAAACTTGGGAGATCTACCTGGCACTTTTTCTGAAGGCATGGCTGGGGAAAATCTCACGCAGATGGCGAGAAAGAAAAATACCGAGAGAATGGTCGCCCGAAAGAAAGCCGAGGCCACTCGTTCTGAGCCTGCCTCAGTTGAATCTATACAACTAGTTACTGGAGAAGAAACAGCTCAAGTTGTTGTGGCCGAGATGGAGGGAGCTGAACAACAGGTTACGAAAGAACGACTGGTTTCAAAAGAGCGGGGCGAAAAACGTTCCGCCGAGGGAGAGGCCAGCTCAGAGGATAGCCCTGCTGACAAACGACCTCACTTAGAGGAGTTCGACATGGTTTTCCCCTTCGTTGTTCAACCAAAGATCAAAGACACGGCAATCTCCGCTAATGTATCTGCCATGAAGAATCCAGTCGTGGCGTTGAGCTTGGCTACCTCAGTTTCGCTACCGACTGATAAGGCCACCTTTCGAGAAGAGCCGAATTTGGTAGCTATAGCGTTCGCTGCCCAGTCGGCCCTTCTGGTATGTATACGATACTTTTGTTTTTGCTCATTTGGTTTGGTTTGCGTACGACGTTGCTTGATGTGGTGATCCAAACTTGTTTTGTAGACGGTTGGGAGGATAGCCGAACTAGGCCGTCGGCAGCATGATGCCATTAAAAGAGTTGGCCGCTTAAAGGTTGAAGCTGAGGGTGAAAGAAGTAGGGCCGAGTTCGAGGCGATGAGAGTTGCAATGGAAAGTGCTCGAGCCGAAGCTGAAAATGAGAGGGCTCGAACTGCTGACCAGCTCAGATCCGAAGCCGAGGATAGGGCGAACGCAAGCAAGGAGTCGCTCAAGTTATCCCAGGAGGCGCTTTCCAAGGCAGAGGCCGAGTTAGAAGAATTGAAGACGGCCAAGAAAAAAGCCGAATCTGAAGCTTCTACGGCGCTAGAAGCTGGGAAGAGCGCCGCCTTGAAGGAATACGTAGATGAGGTCCCCAAATTCGAGAATCGGGGATTCAAACATGGGTGGCTCAAAGCCCTTGCTTCCGTTGGAGTTACATTGGCCTTGCCAATTCCATACGAGCAAGTGGACGTTGAGCAACTTGAGTCTGATCCCGATGATTGATCTGGGAGACATTCTAGCTTTATTAGGTATCTTTAATTTCGATGAACGTTTTTGTTTAGTGGATCCTTGTTAGTTCAAGGTAATTTTCATGTATAAATTAGTTACTATCTGTGCTCAATTTATTAATGAAAATTTTCTTCCCATTTCACTATTATTTGTACGAAGTTTCTGATATTAATGAAGAGTTTTGCCTTCCACTACTTTGGATAAAATGATTACCGTCTGTTGTGCCTTCTAACCAGCGATTGGAATCAGTGTAATCTTGGCAATTATATTAGTTAAACATTAATTTATCCGAACAAGTAAACGGACTCTTGGTGCCGAATAGGACGAGTAAATCGATTCGTGAAGCGGCTGTGGCACTCAAGCCGGATAGATTGATGAATCTGCCCTTGCCCCAGCTGGTTCGCGAACATTAAACGCCGAATCATACAATATTGATTAGTCGATTCGTGAAGCGGCTGCGACACTGCTAGCTGTAATGGACTTGGGGCTTTCTTCTTCTACGGAGATCGCACACTCTCTGAAACTTTCAACCCTTGCATCTCTTGTCCATCTCTTCAAAATATAACAGGTAGGGACCACCTTTATATTCCGATGATCAAGCACTTTTAGGGCATGACAACATAGAATCCCAACATACTCAAACTTCATACAACCGCAAGTGACTGTACCATCCGAAGAGTTAAATGTAACTGTATACTCTCTAGGTTGCCCGTATGTGTTAGCTTTGTACTCAAACAACGACCCATTCTCACTGAACAGGTTGACAACGATATTTAGACACTTCTCGTATTCTCGCTGGAATACTTCAAATGCCTTTGGTGTATAAAGATCACTGGCATGCTTTAACAAAACTACATTAGCCATCAATCTTGGAGTACATCTGCCCATGTCATAATTAGCTTCGAGTTCATTGTAGCGTTGCTTGTTTACCATACTTTCAAAATGTGTGAAGAACTGAAGCACATCTAGGTCAGAGTTTAGGTAATTTTTCAAGTTATTTGAAAAATTCTCCACTAGATGTGTGCTTTTCACATCAATAAAAAAGCTATTTTTGCCATATACCACAGCCCAATTCTCTTTTTCTCTAAACATCCATCGCAACCACTCATTTTGCCGAAGAGTAAATTTGTCTACCATATCATCCCAGGCATGGATGAAATCCTCCTCATCCTCGTGATCAAAAATGCAACTCCTCAAAACTTTGGCAAAGGAATCTGCATCCTTTGTCACATGGCTCAGGTGTTTAAGAGCATTTTGGTACATCTGCCATATGCAAACACGGTGGTTTGTTTCTGGTATTTCTGAATCAATTGCTTGGATTATTGTTGCATCTTGATCTGTGAGGATGGCTTCTGGCTTCTTCCTGGACATTGCCTCGATGAAAGTTTGGAAAAGCCACTTAAGAGAATCAATAGTTTCATCATACATAAGTGCAGCACCAAATATCACCACTTGTCTATGATGATTCAGTCCTAAGAACTGCACAAGCGGCCGAAAATCTTTCTGTGTTCTGTATGTTGTGTCCAAACAAACCACATTGCCAAAATGATCATAGTCCACAACCATATTATCATCAGCCCAAAAAATATTGCTTATCTTATCATCTACATCAAGCTGTATGGCATAAAAGAAAGAAGGATTTTCAAAGTGTTGCCTTTGAAAATAATACAACAAACGCCCTGCCTCTCCCTCCTTCAAATCTCTTATTCGTCCAGATTTTAAATAATTCTCAAAATCTATTGCTGGATAATCAAGGTTTTCTCGAGCACCAAATTGTCTACCCAACAATTGAAATGCTAATTGTGATTGCCTTTCAAGATTAATTGTGGAGTCAGCTTCAGTTACTCCAGCACCATCTATTGTCCCCTGTGATGGTAATTCCTGTAAGTTCTGAGCATTACTTGGGTTTACATTCTCATGATTATGGTTTTCTTCAAAATGTGTAATTCGATATATTCCATCAGGCTGACGAGTTATTATCATATGTGCCAAGCAACCAGTTCTTGTTTCTTTCCGGTGTTTCTTCACATTAACATCTCGTTTGTCTTTCCGCCGATAACCTTCTTTGGAACAGGTAAACTTTCTAGATACCACCCTACCATGTACCTTACTCCTATTGACCCAGTCCTTTCGAACACTGAAACCTACCAATCCAGCATATTTGCAGTAAAACTTGTATGCATACTCATCTGATTCAAACTCCATACCAATCTTAAGTACCCCATCTGAATTAGAATCATCTTTTGAAGAAAGAGTGGACTGCACTGAGCCAACATGGGCAACTTTTGGGCTGCAACAGTCGTGCTCTATATTCAAGTCCAAGTTATTGGATGTTTGGCATCTGATATCCATATCATCGTCATGAGAACTAACCAGGTCATCATCATTCCTATCCATTGTCCTTGAATAGAAGAGGAAGAAATCAGTAAAACATCATCTATTAAGAATAGAATGAAAGAATATATTCTCACATCCCAGCCAAATGGGAATTTGAACAGAGTCTATTGATCACAGTCCTACACCAGACACTCGACTGAACAAGTATAAGGATGATGATAATAGAAAAGTCACAAAACACAGGCGAAAAAAGAAAAGAAAAGAGCAAGATAGATCCCTGATCAGAGCCCTTACTCCAACATCCAAATATGCCCAAATACAGTGAGCTACTAGACTCAATGCATGCACACATTGTTGTTCCATATTTACATGTATACATATAATTTATTTTTACATGGATTGGAATGCTTAAAACTAGAGTTCATTATAAAGATCTTTTACTGAAATTTCAGTGTGTTTCTTGTTCTATTTTGATTTTCCTACTCAATGAAACTTGAATCCCTGCCTTGGATTGTTCTATTTTGTAGAATTTACCAAAATAATTTAATAAAAGTCACGGTGAACTATCAATCAGATAACTTGGCTTCAAAAAAATTTGCACCTGTTTAACTATGTAATTTCCACAACCTTTTACCAATTTATTTCCAAAATTGTAAAACACCAACTTATTTAAAACGATTGTGAAAAAAGCTCTCTTTCAGAAATAATATTTATATTCTCTCCTCTTCCTAGGTTCCTAATTAATTATTCATTGTTGATTTACTAGACACTTAACTTCACATAACCAAAAAGGCATAAAACTGATAGAAAATTATTCTGAACTACTATCCCAAAATGGATTATGTTTCCGCAATTTTTATAAACCCATAAACTTAAATATTTGAACATGTCAGTCAGGAAATGAAATACAAAGAACGATTATTTGACGCAAATAAGTACACAGGCTGTTGAATGTGTCCCACATTGCTTGAAGTTGCGCCACACGTGCTGGTCATAAGGCTCCGATTTCTCTCCTTAATAGCTGGGTTTTAAGGAGAAGTGTGGCCTGGACTTTTCAATTTAGTATCAGAGCTTGGTTGGGTCTGTGACTTGTGTGCCGTTTGTCCGGCTACTGTATGTTGTGGTCCAGAAGGGTGTGTTGAAATGCGTCCCACATCACCTAGAGTTGCCTCATTGGTGCTAGTTATAAAGCTCCAATTTCCCTCTCCTTAACAGCTGGGTTTAGGGGTGAGCAATGGATATTCCGATTCGCCCAAACCGACAGAACCGAACCGAACCGACACGCTGCATTTTGGACGGATGCGTGATGCTGAGCTGATGGTTGTGGATTGATTCTTTCAAATCCGCCTAATTTTGGCAGCTAGCGGATTTGAAATTCCTTTGGCCGCAACTGAATCGCCAAACCGCAAGCACCCCTAATAATTTGTAAGATTTTGTATTTTCAATTTGTTTAGATATTCTGTTTATATTTTCAATTAAAAATGAGTTTAGATATTCTGTTGTGTTTTCAATTCGAAAATCTTTTTTATCAAATGATATTTGGTATTTTTGTGTGGAAAATATAAATTTTAATTTTGTCATTTTAAAAAAAAAAATCAAATTAAATAATTTTTGAATAACAAAAAGTAATGAAATAATTTTGATAATGCATGATTTTCTTATATGTATTTATTATTAGTATTTGATAATTTACTTGACAATCTTTTGGTTATGTTGAGTTGGATTATTATTCAAAAAAAAAAATATTGACAAATTGTTGTATTATATTTAAAATTTGTAAAAATTTAAACTGCCAAATTGATTCGCATCCATCTGCCAATCTGCTCAAACCGCATCCGTCAATTTGGCGGCCGGATGCGGATTGATTTTTCAATCCATCAATTTGACGGACGGATGGCGAATTAGAGGTTCTCTGGCCGCAACCAAACCGCGAACACCCCTAGCTGGGTTTTAAGAAGAAGTTGTGGCCTGAGTTTTTTAATTTGGTATCAGAGCTTGGTTAGACCTGTGACTGGTGTGTCGTTTGTTTGGCTATTGTATGTTGTGGTCCAAGAGGGTGTGTCGAAATGTGTCCCACATCGCCTAGAGTTCTCCAGTTTCCCTCTCCTTAATATCTAAATTTTAAGAAGAAGTGTAGATGGAGCTTTTCAATTAGCTGTCTGTCGGGTTATTTACTTGGGATAATTAACCTACCAATGCTACTTCCAGAAGGACTTTATTTGTTTCTAGTGTGTTTATGCAAGTCTCATAACAAATACAAAATAATAAAGAAACCAAAATAGCAATTCCTCATATCATTCCTTTTTTCCACTTTGTAACTTTCAAAAACATTATAAAAATTTCTAAGCAGAATAGCACTCACTACTCATATGGATTTTGCATGATATCTTCCTGTAACCCTTTCATATTTGCTACATCATATATATTTCCACAAACAATGTTGACTCTCGCTCTTTATTAAAGTTTCTTGTTTTCTTCTTTATTACTTGCACTGTAATACATAAATACCCTAAGAAGGACAGACACGCACACATGACACGAAACCGACATGATTTTATATATTCATTATATGTCATATACATGAATATTTAAGTCAAATATAATAATTTCTAAAGTCAAAATAAGGAGAATATGTATAAATTTATATTATTGTTGTTTTATCATTGGATTCTAAGTGTTGGGAAGTGTTCTGCAAGTGTCATGTTGGTGTCCGACATACACGTTACCTTCTTAGAAGTATTTGTGCTTCTTAAGGCAGGCCCGACTTAATAGCTAAGCCACTAAAGCAAGGGCTTTAGGCCCAATTTGTGAAGAAGGCCCCTAAATTTAAAGAAATTAAAATTATATATGTATATTTTTTAAAAGGTTTATTTTGAGACATTATAACAAAAAGACCTCAACCCATGAATAATATATAATACATGTTATACATATTGCGGGAAAAAAATGTGGCTACCCGTTTGTTATATGTTTTTCAAAAGTACCCACTTTATTTTGAAGAAAAATCATGATTCAATACTCAATATTTTTATTATTCAAGAATACCTCCAATAGAGTGATACATCTCCTATACATATTGTACTTCACGTGCGATTCAACAAGCACAGTACAAACTTCAATATCAAATGCAACTTAACAGCTTAATAGCACTGTCAGGACAAGCAGCGGTGCAGCTAACAAGGAATTAGGATCACGTGCAACCTGACTTTTCAATAATATTTTTTTTTACAGAAACTTTATTCAAAAGTAATGTTTTCCTGTTTTTATCTCAACATGTTTTTTCTGCACGTCAGAAACACCATGTGTTATTATTTATGTAATAGCCTAAATAGTAAAATTTATGGATGAGAGATAAGATCTCATTATTGTTAATTACTTGGGTGATAATCAGTAAATCACGTAGTGTGAATTACATTTTCTCGTGTCTGGGATCATATGATATTTTCAGACTATCTAACAATTTTTATTTAAAAAATATTATTTATAAATAATACTATCTCTTTAATATATTCCTCTCAAAGAAAAATTAAAGAAATTTTATAATGATTTGTGCTATAAATGATATCTTTTTATTTTCTAAAATTAGAAATTTTAATTTGCAATTTTGTGTGCTAAAATTGTAAACTTACATTACTATCGCGTGCCACTATTATAGAATTTTGTTTTGTTACTATTAATAATGAATATTTAAATTTTTATGCTTAAATTTAATTCATAAAATTATTATTATCTTATAGTTGATAAAAAAAAATAGTTAATTAACTAATTGTAAGGGGTTGCCTCTACCTTTACTTCCTGCTATTGGTTGGGGAGGCACATCTCAACAATTAGTACTGTGGCTTATAATTCGAAAAATGTCGCTGGTAAGTCTAACAAGAAGTGATTTTTGGTCAAATGTGTTTTTACTCACCCAAGTGTTTTTAATGGTGCATCAAATTTTTTTATTAAATTTGAATAAAAATTTGAGTAAAAGTTTTATTTAATATCAAGTGCTTCAACAAAAGTTTTTGGAGGTTCATCAGAACTCCGGTCAATTGGGTGACGATTACCCAATACACTAGGCCGATTGATTGGCCAATGTAATTTTTTTTTTTTTTTTTTTTTTGGGTTGAGGTGGTCGACCGGGTGGTTGATCAACCAGTTTAATTTTTTCACAAATTTTTGCCTTGAGGTGGTCATCTGGAAGGACATCTGATGGGATGTCCGGCAACAGTAATGAACAGTGGTTTGATGAAAGGCACATTGGTCTTTAGTTTGATGACAAAAAAGTGAAATCCTTAATTTGATACTTATTTGATGCAACCATTGGAGCTGCAAAAGGACTCAGTTTTCATCAAATTCAAATTTGATGAAAGGTTTGAGTAACCATTGGAGATGGTCTATGGGAACCACTTTCGAACTTTTCAATTACTTGGATGCCGAATTTACAGGTTGTAGACTTGACCGTAAAAACACTAGTGACACTTGACATTTTCTTAAACACTCGCCCAATTCTTGGTTTTGCAAGAAACAAAACTCAGTGGCTTTGTCAACTGCTAAAGTAAAATACATAGCCTCCATTGGTCGTTGTGCACAATTGCTTTGGATGAAGCAACAATTTCAAGATTTTGGACTTTACTATGATCATATTCCTATAAAATGTAACAACACAAGTGCCATTAACCTTTCTAAAGATCCTATTCAACACTCGCGCACTAAACACATTGAAATAAGGTATCATTTTTTTAAGAGATCACGTACTCAAAGGTGATATTGAACTTGAATTTTTGCCCACACCTCATCAATTAGCTCACATATTTACTACGCCTTTTAATGAAAAATAATTTTATTATATTAAAACTAAACTTGGTATGATGAATACTCTTATGTGATTCTTATATTGTGTTTTTTTGTTGTAAAAAAATTTGCCGCAAAAATATTTTATGTGGCTTTACAGGCCTTTAGGGTCAACACCAAAGCCCTCTCTCTCTCTCTCTTCTTTGGGCCATTTTTACTAGCTACCTTGTTGATTTTGACCATATTTTTATTTTACATTGTATTGAGTCTCACATATATATTATGCTATTTTCTATATTTTGAAAATTTGATTATGCACTTCTTGTCAAATGCATGACTTGATATGATTACATCTTATAAAATGCATGAATATGAATGACTAATATTATGATTGATATTTTTTAAGTCACAATAGAAATGGAGTAGTAGTAATCTTAAAATAAAAATATACTCCAACATTTTATGTGATCATTTTCTTTATAAATTATGTGCGTGTGTGCGTTCTCTCTCTCTCTCTCTCTCTAGCTCTTGCTCACTGCCATTCTCTGATACCACCTCCATCACCACCATCATCCATCCAAATCCATCTCCGATCCGCACAAAATCCATCACTAATATTCACCATCATCTTTGATCCACATAAAATCCATCAAAAATCTTCACCATCATCGCTGATATTCATCTTCATCATTGATCCTCATATCCACTAGCATCGTTACCCTATCAAAATGCTAAATTTATTTTTGCAATGTGTAATATTTCTTTTATAGTTGTTTTTGCTACAAACTTTTTTTTTATTTAATACCAATTGCTTCTACCTAGTATGAAGTAATTGGTTTCATTTGTCTTTTCTCTTTTTTTGCTAATGCACTCCCTGTAGTTGTGTTAGGCTGGATCTTCATGACCCTTGGTATTATAAACTGGTAATAATTTATTTTTGCAATATGTAATATTTCTTTTATAGTTGTTTTTGCTACAAACTTTTTTTTCTTTTATACCAATTGCTTCTACCTAGTATGAAGTAATTGGTTTCATTTGTCTTTTCTCTTTTTTTGCTAATGCACTCCCTGTAGTTGTGTTAGGCCGAATCTTCATGACCCTTGGTATTATAAATTGGTAATTTGTTTCTTTAAATTTATATCATACGTATAATTCTTTTTTTTTTCGTGAATTACTTCAGGGGAAGACTCTAATTATGCAATATTTTGAGATTGAAACAGACAAGAAAGCATACTCTTAGGGGGAGTTTTTATATTCTAATTATATACATAACTTCAAGGGGAGTTTATAATGTTATCAAAGGAGGAAAAGTTTTTGATAAAGAGGAAAAAATAAATGCTTGCATTTTTATTTCAGAGAGAGAAAATATTTCTAGATTACATGAGTCCTAAGTAGGGTTCACAGAATTTTTGCATTCTCTCAATAGCTTTTCATGAGCCTCTGAACTTGAACCTCCTTATTTTCGATCGCTGTGAGTCTTGGCATTATAACGGTTGCATAATATTGCACCGCATTCTCCAACCGTGAATTTTTTTCTATCTAGACTTATCTTCCCAATCATTGCTTGAGTACCAATAGTTATAGCATTATTAATAGCCTCACTATCATTACGATTACCCAATACACTAGGACTCTCAGTTACTGGAATAGCTTGTGAATGCACTATGGGTAACTCTTAATTTTCCTGAATCT